AGAGAGAGATAGCATATCAAGTTAGAGAAAATTTATTATGAGAGATGAGAGGGTCAAAATATAACATTTAGATCAATTTCTTCTCACTTAATTAAATTTCAAATTTTTTCTCATTTAATTAATCTAAGAGTTATATTTTAACTCTCTCATCTCTCATAATAAATTCTCTCTCAATTGATATGCTCTATATATTTATTTATTTATTTATTTCAGGTTATAGAGTTTTAGGATGAAAAATCTTCAAATTAATTAAAATATTTTTAACTTATTGTATTAGACGATTGACAATAATGAAAGATATGTATTATTGTATTTTAATTAAGATTAATATGATAAGGAAAATCAACTAACGAGAGATAAATAAGATAGTTACTAACGAAGAAGGAGAATCCAGATATTAAACTAGTTACTATCTTTTTTTCTTAGAGAATATCAATGAAAGTAACTGTTTTTGTCTTATGCATTAGGTACATAGGATAAAGCGTAAAAAATAAAAGCTTTTTGTTTGAATTTAAGTACTTGGTGGATATAATCGAAATATAAATTATATTAACAACTCCCAATATTTTTAGAAACTTATTGTATATTTTTAAGATAATTATAAAATTGTGAGAGATATGAAATAATGACTTAAAGTAAAGGCTTTAGGTGCTTGATCCTAGAATATTTCCCTGTACACATCGTTTAGGTACCATTTTTATTTTAATATTTAATTACATGAGATTGCTAGATGGTTCCCGTGTGAGACTAGATTAAGCTAGGGGGAAGGCTTCTCCTGTTTTTTTTATCTCGATAATGGTTCTTATATTGCATGCCTATATGTAGTTTTTTTTTATTATTATAATTTTTTCACATAGCAGCCTAAGTATTTTGTTGCAACACAGTTACCTAATTTGTATCATTTTGAATCCTATACAATAATTCTAGTAGAAGTTTACGTTACGAGGCATACCTCGTGCGAATCAATTAATAATCCATCCACGAAATATTCTTCTTAAACTCCATTTGTTATATGCATCTTTAATTATGAAGCTGATTTTTAAATTGAACAGATTGGTGAGTTGGCTGGGATTGCAATCGGGTCTACGATACTGCTGAATGTGATGATTGGAGGGTAATTAAGTAACCTATCGAAATCCTGATTAAATAAAATGCAAAATGAAGAGCATATTGTTGTGGTAATGAGAAATGTACAATACCTGATGCGAGTGGTTTTGAATTTTCATGTGACAGGCCAATCACAGGAGCATCAATGAACCCAGTTAGAAGCCTAGGACCAGCTTTTGTGCACACGCAATACAGAGGAATATGGATATACTTGTTGGCACCGATTGTGGGGGCTGTGGCCGGAGCATGGGTCTACAACGTCATTAGGTACACAGAAAAGCCACTGCGTGAGATCACAAAGACCGGCTCTTTCCTCAAAGGACGTGCTGACATCAAATAGTTTAAGCAAATGGACTTATATGCTATCATCAACCCTCCTTCCCACACTTTTGCTATGTATATTGTCTTTGTCAGAAATAATGATCCCATAATGCATGAAATCACTTAAACAAACTACGCTGTTATGGTTTATTTCCTTTGTTTCGTAAAAGGTCATGCATTTGATCTAACAAATTTGTATTTAGCTCCTATATACTACGTAATTTTCTCTGTGTGTGTATTAAAAACAGTTGAGATCTTACTATATATTAATAACTTTTTATTATATAAGAATTTATGTTATAAATATTTAAAATTTAATAACAACTTTTATATACACTATTATTGTTATTGTATGAAGGATTTTCTCCAGAATAATTTAGCAACTACAGCAAAATATAAGACATTCAAAGAGTGTAATCTAATGCTCCTAACTTTAGAGTTATGTTTTATACCCATGCATATAAGTTACTAATCTGAACCTCAAGAATTTTGGAATAGTTCAAGAAAATCTCAAAGTAATATAATTGTCACAACATTGTAGTAGTCTATCTGTACATTTATGGGGGTATCTATGAGACATAGGTTGGTATGTTGGTCAGCCAATGTATTTGTGTTGTAACCATGTCGAACTTAAATCGACGTTCTTAAGATTGGTACCTTAAGTATATTGGGGTTGGTGCTTGAGTGGCCAACCAAAAGTAGCAGATAAGTCATATATGAGTGTGTCTCTCAAGAATATTCTGACCATGTAGGCTAATAGTTAAGATATTTCTGAGAGATACACTAGTCTCCAACCTTTAGCATACAATGTAACATGGTCGTAAAATATTATTGGTCAAAGTTTATTTGGGTTAACTAGTTTGATATTTTTGGGAGGGCGGTAAACTAGCCTCCAACCTTGAGCATAAGATGTAAAAAGACAATAAAATATTTTAGTAAAAATTAATCCAATTAAAATAGTTAGCATATTTTTAGAGACTACATGAGCCTCAAGCCTAGAGCATAAAGGCAACAAGGCTTTATTTTAGGCTCTTTAGTCCTTGGTGAACTAGTTTTCTATGTAGTTGATTGATATAACTACATGCTTTATTTTAATATTATTACTTGAATTGTTCGAAGAAAGTTAGTGAAGAGAAGGGTTTAAAATGACTTAATAAGGTAGAGCAAAGTTAGAATATAAAATGATGAGATTATAGTAGAAGAGAAAAAGGAAGAACTTCATAAGTGTATTTCCTAATTAAGATTCTAAAGGGATAAAGTTAGAAAGAAAAGGTTTTAGGTTACAAGAAGTCTTCATCTTCATCTGATTCTTCTATAATCTCCTGATCTTCCTCAAGTTATAGGTTGTCTTGATTAGCAGAAGGAATATCCTTTGAGCATATATAGATCGTTGAGGTGGAATTGAGAGAAGCCAAAATCATTGTTTTAAGAGTGTTTTTTTTCTTCATCTACTTTAACTTTTAGGAAGTTGATTTGAGGTAAAGGAAGCTTGATCATTTTAGTTCTTTGAGATTGCATGCGGATCTAGTTGATGTTGGATTGTAGAGATTTGATTTTTTTTATTCTATTTAAGGGATTTGGATTTGGTTGTTTTTATTCTATTTGTTTCATGTTTCAATGGTTGCACATGTTGCATCTTATTAAGTTTTTGGCAAACGTGGATTGCATTAGATATTGTGGACAAGAAAAAAAGTGGTTCGGAGATAGGAATTTAAATGAAGGTTGATTATAGACTTGGATTTTTTTATAAAAAAAAAAAAAACTTGCTCCATAATTGTTGAATGGGTGTGGATGTTGTTGAATAGGAGGAAGACGCTCCCTCGTTGTTGTTGCTTTGAATGTTTTTCAAATGTGATTTAAAAGGGGCAATGGACTTCACATGGAAGTGTTTTTATTGAAAATTGTTGAGTTGTGATATGTCATTGAAATGGATTTCAATTGAGGGGCTTTGGGTTCGATGAACACATTGAGTAGATGTTTTGGAAAAATATACTTTATCTATACCAAATATTTAGTCCTTTAGTAATCTATTTTTGTCTAAAAAAAAATGACTTTTTGAATTTCAAAGTCTAAGTAATATATTTTTTTTTCCTAATCACACTACAATTGAATAGACAATTTCTCCATCAACTATTCACTTTTTTTTTTACAAAAAAAAAAAGTATTTTCTTCTTTATGTTACATAAGAAACAAATGGAGACTACTTTTAGTCTTAATTATAAGAAACACACATATGTATATATATACATACACATACACTTTATAATGTATTAATCGCTAATTTTTTTATACCCTTTATGTATTGTGAACTTTATTAGAAAGATGCATAACTCATGCAAGTGAATCCATTTATTGATATATATATATATTAACAATACAAATTACTAAGTTTTTAAATTTTGACAAATCATTAAACTAATCAATACACTAATTCAAGATTCAATGATTGAACTGTGATTGAATCGTGGTTGAACTATTATTAATAAAATATTAATAATTATTAAATAACACATAAAATAATATTAAAAAAATAATATCATAACTTTATAACATAAAAATTAAAAATAAAACACGAATTTAATGTTTTATTAACATTTAAATTATATACAAATGTTGAAATTAAATATATTATAATCACGTGTTTATATTTAAAAAAATAGTAAAGAAAATGCCAAGTAATTTGGGTTGATTTTTATTTTTTAAGAAAAAATTCAAATAATATTTTTTCATAAAAATTAGTTGACCTGTAGAATATCAAGTTTTGATCCATTTTTTTCTTTGAATTTTTTTATCTTTCACGAGTTTCTTTGCCAAACTATTTTTGTGGTTTATTTGAACTAATTAGGTGATCAGTTCATAATCAATCTGATTCGATATTCATAGCATAGAAAATTACATTTGTTTGTGAAAAAATTATCTCTTAAATTAAGTGTAGTGACATTAAATGTAATCATTATTCAAATCATCAATTTGAAGGATATTTTTGAAATAAAATTTAAATTTATTATCTTCACTAAATGGATTAATTATTTGTATCTTATATAAGATGAAAAAGAGAGAACTACTTTGATCACCCTTAAGGTGGGGAATTGGAATAGTGTGCAAAAAATCTTTGATTTAAACTCTCGTGTTGTCATTGTAATTCTGATGAATAAATAAAAAATATAAGACCAAAAAGAGTAATAAAGAAACACATGTTAATTTAAATTTACATCTATCAAATATTTTGTAATTTGTGAATCAACTTTAAGAAAATTCTAATTAGTGCCTTACAAGCACCCATTAAGGAATTAAAAATGTGTTTTTATATTAAAAATTGTATATGCACATTCTATTGTGCAACTATATTGTAATTTTTAACAAAAAATTTCTATATATTAATTCCTTAACGCATCTTAAGGACGTTTAAAGTATTAAAGATTGAGAATGAATGAAAGATAAATTTAATATTGTTAACTTAATTACTCTCTTTATCCCAAATCTTTACTCCTTTTAAGGTTAATGCTAGGGGTGGAAAAATGTAGCTTGCAAAAAAAAGGTAGGGAAGGAGGCGTTGACCTATTTTCCAAAAATGGGATAGAAATTTTGGCACACACCTCTTAGAGATGGGTTGGCGAACCGGCGAGTTCACCAACCAAAATTTAATTTTTTTATTAACTATGATATAAATTTGTTCTTCAACTTTAAGACTATAAAACAAAAATAATAAATTATAAATTATTAAAAGTCTTTCATTTTCAATCAAGATTACTTACTAATAGTCTTTAAACAATAAAAAAAAACTAATATAATCTTTAAGAATTACTCTCCTTAATCCTTAAGGTGTGTTTGGACGAGGAATTTTACAAATTTAAAGAATTTTAAATTCTTGATATTTGAATTACTTTGATTTCAATTTCTATCATTCTTAAAATATTTTGTTTGGATAAGTCAATTCAAATTTCTCAAATTTTAAATTGTTAGGTTAGATATGATAATTTGATTCCAACATGGTAAAATTGATTTTATAAATATATTTATATGTTGAGATTTTTAAATTAAATTTTATAAAAATAAATATTAGTTAATTTTTAAATATTTAAAAAATTTAAATATATTTTTGAATATTCAATAATTAAAAACATGAAGAGATAAGAGATAAGATAAAATATATAAGTGAAAAAAGAAAAAAAAAATGAGGAATTTCAAATTTTTACTCTTTTGGAAGAATTTGAAATTCTACTATTTTAGGAAATTTTACAAATGCTTGAATTTCAAATTCTTTGTAAATTCTCTAGTCAAACAAGGTATTTCACCTCAAAAAATTTAAATTTTTTTAAATAAATGAATTACTTCATTTAAATTATCTATCTAAACACACTATAATATAAGGCATAATTTAGAAGAAATTGGTTTTTTTTTTTATAAGACACTTTACAATTTCTATAAAAGTATTAAATGTAGTTTTTATATTATGTCATTATTAAAGATTGTATAAATAAGTGTTTTTGTCTCTCGCCTCTTAAAATCTACAATTGTCATTCATTATTTTAGTTGGTTTTGATACTTTCTTCATGTACTTGTCTCATAGAAATTTAATGACAAGTAAAAAAGGTAAAATCATGCATCATAATTTTGTTTTATAAGCACAATAAAATTAACTAATATAACTATTTATATTGATATGTGTGATTTGGTTAAAATGTCTTATAATAAAAACCAAATGAAGTACACTATAAGTATAATAATTAGGGATGGCAAAGTGGGCCATGACTCGCGGGCTGGCCCGTTGGCCCGTCAAAAATTGGCGGCCGGAAAGATGGGGGAGGAAAATGCGAGGAAAGATTCCTGCTGAGCAGTTGCTATTTGATCCAGAAATTGAGAAAACAGCCAGGAAAAATAATAGTAGAAGAAGGCGACAAAGGAAGCTTGAACAGGAGAGACAGGAACAGGAGGGTACTTCCACTTCAGTTGCAGCTCAACACTCTATTTCTGAATCAATGGCTGAGGAAGGACAGGGTGGTGGTGACAGACCTCATCATCAACCAAGGAGACTCTTAGGAGAATACAATCATCAGTTGGGACCTAGGCATTTCTCCAGTATAGCTAGACCAACCAAGGGAGTGGAGATGAAGCCAGCATTATTATCTCTCATCACTGCCAATCAATTTGCAGGAATGGACCATGAAGATCCCTACACACATCTGTCTACTTTCTATGAGCTTATTGGTACTATGGGTGTACCTGGAGAAGATGAAGAAGCAGTTTATTTGCGATTGTTTCCTTTCTCTTTGACAGGTAAAGCCAAGACATGGTTGCAGGCCCATCCGAATCAGAGCTTAACCAGATGGGAGGATGTAGAAAGGAAGTTTTTGGCAAGATTCTTCCCTCCTTCCAGATATATAAGTGCCAAATCAGCAATTGCAACATTCTCTCAAGGTGCTGATGAGCCTTTGTGTGAAGCTTGGGAGAGATATAAATCCTTGCTGAGGAAATGCCCGAATCATGGGTTTGATGATGTGGCACAACTTAATATGTTCTGTAATGGGTTAAGACCACAGACAAAGATGTTATTGGATGCTTCTGCAGGTGGTTCAATGATGATGAAGGATTCTGAGGAAGCAATTACCATTATTGATGCTTTAGCAGCCAGTGACTACCAAGCTCATCATGATAGGAGCCAGCCTTCAAAAAGGGGAATTCTGGAATTGGATACCCAAAATGCAATCCTGGCCCAGAATAAGCTTCTTTCTCAGCAAATGGAAGAGATAAAGAAGCAGATGTCCAAACTGCAAGTAGGGTCATCTTCACGCTCTCAGCAGGTAATGAGATGTGATTTTTGTGCAGGTGATCATCCAAATGGGCATTGCTCTGTCTCTGAATCAGAACAGGAGGAGGAAGTTAATTACATGAGCAATCCAGGAAGGCAAGGGAATTTCTCTGGTAATTATAATCAGAATCAAGGCTGGAGGAGTAATCAGAATCAGTATTCTGGGTGGAAACAAGAAGCAGGGCCTTCACAAAGGCAGCCCCCACAAAAGCCATATCAAAATCAGTCTTCTTATCAGCCTGATAGGTTGTCAAAAATGGAGGAGGCTCTTACACAATTTATGCAGGTTTCCACAACTAATCAGAAGAACACTGAAGCGTCTATCAGAAATCTGGAGGTTCAAGTAGGGCAGCTAGCCAAGCAGTTGGCAGATCAACAAAATAAAAATTTTTCCGCCAATACACAGGTCAATCCGAAGGAGCAGTGTCAGTCAATTACAACAAGGAGAGGCACTGTGATAGGTAAGGGGATTGGTGACAATTTGAGAGACAGTAGTGTTGGGGAAGAAGAGAAAAAGAGTGTAGTTGAGTTAGAAAGTGAGAAAGAGGTGGAGTTGAATAAAGAGGAAGAAAAAAAAGAAAATAATAAAAAAGAGAGTGAAAAAAATGAGAGGAGAGATGGAGATGTGAGGGAGGAGAGAAAGAAGAAAGGGAAAGAAGTCATTAGGCCTCCTCCAGTGAAGAATCTACCTTACCCACATGCTCCGTCAAAGAAAGACAAGGAACGCCAGTTTGCAAGGTTCCTTGATATAATCAAGAGGTTACAGATCAACATACCTTTTGCAGAGGCCTTGGAACAGATGCCATCTTATGCAAGATTTATGAAAGATCTTTTGACAAAGAAGAGAAAGTTGAGTGAAGATGGAACAGTGGAGTTAGAGGCAGGTTGCAGTGCTATAATTCAGAAGTCACTTCCACAAAAGTCTAGAGATCCAGGGAGTTTTACTCTGCCAGTCACTATTGGAAATGTTTCTGTGGGGAAGGCATTGTTGGACTTAGGAGCTAGTATCAATCTGATGCCTTTGTCAATGCTACAGAGGATAGGTGAGGTGGAGGTGAGACCTACTAGAATGACTCTGCAGTTGGCTGACAGGTCCATCAAGTATCCTCATGGTGTTGTTGAAGACCTCTTAGTAAAAGTTGATAAGTTTTGGTTCCCAGTAGATTTTGTTGTCATGGATATGGAGGAAGATTCTGAGGTTCCTCTTATTTTGGGACGACCATTCATGAAGACAGCCAAAGTTATTATTGATGTTGATGATGGGAAACTCAAGGTTAGAGTTCAGGATGATGAAGTGAACTTTGATGTCTTTGAGGCCATGAAGCATCCAAGTGATAAGGCAGGTTGTTTCAGAGTGGATGTGATTGATGAGCTGTGTTTGGAAGCTCAAAGAAATTTCTCAGTAGCTACACCATTGGAGAAGGCATTGATGAGTGTGGTCAGTGAAATTAATGATGAAGAAGAAAGAGAAATTCAGAAATGTCTGGAGGAGTTAGACAAAGCCAAGGAGGTTTCTACTAATCCTGCAAGTGTACAAGAGTTAAACAAAGGGGACAAGTCTCAACCTCAGCAGCTAGAATTGAAGCAATTGGGCCCCCCCCCCCCCCGCCCCGTTTTTGGCAGGCCGGACCAAAATGGGCCGGGCTGGCCCGTTTTGCCATCCTTAATAATAATCCTTTAATAATAAAGTGTCTATCTCGTCTCACCAGTTTTTAGTAGACTAGTGGGTTAGCTCGCGTGTTATGACTTATTTTGCTATCTTTAATTAACTCATATGATTAAAAAATATTTAATGTATATAAATGTAGACTAAAATTTCTTATCCAATATCTCATTATGTCAGTTTCATTATTTTTTTAAAATAATTAAATAATTGATACAGAAAATAGTTATTAAATAATGATATAATTGGAAAAAATATTAATTAGAACCTAAAACTAAAAGAGCAATTATTTCGGGACAGAACGAAGACTACAAGGAATAAATATTTGACATAAAAAGAATAACTAATTTTCTTAATTTTGATAAATTAATTGTTTGAGTTTTATGTCAAAGATGAGTGAAAATAATTTTTATAAAAAAAGACCAAGTCAAATTTCTAAAATTGGTTTATTAATTATCATTTAAATTTTTAATTTGTGTGAAAAAAGTTTAAGGATACATTTTTTTTATTAAAAAAAACTTAGATTAGGACAAAGAGCGACGCTATGCACTATCAAATTCTTTGATAATTTTTAGTGGGATTATAAATTTTTTACCTTATTAACAAAATAAGTTTACATGAAAGGATATAAAGTATAAGAAAAAATTAATTTAATTTCAAGTATTAATTAGTAGGAGTAAGGAGACTTAATTAATTGTAACACCTTTGTTTAATTTCTAAGGAGCCATTTTTTTTTCATCAATTTTTAAAGAGACATTTGATACACAAAAGTTTTGATTTTTTTAGGACTATAAAATTGGAAATGTTAGTTTGTTGTGTTTAGTATATTGTTAAAAAAATTTATTGAAAAACACGTTTTTCTACAAAATGTTTTTTATATAATTTTTTCTCAAATTTATTTTTTCATGGGAGTTGAGAATCTAATATTTTTTAGATGAAAAAAAGTTTTATTTTAGTAAAGATATCACATTAATTTGTTTCTGTAATATGGTATAAATATTTGATACACAATTAATATTTCTAAATATTTTTAAAAATATTTTGACCAATTAAACAAATTTGTAAAAATATTTCTAAAAATACGTCTTAAAAATTAGGATTTCTAGAATTTATGATTCCCATAATTATCAAACATGAAAAAAAAATATTCTACCAAACACCCCAAATGTTAATCAACTTTTAAAGAAATATTGTTATTGTTGGATTAATCAATTTAAAATCTTAAAATAAAGTATAAATTTAAGACAAATTTAATATTATTTAACTTAATTATTCTCCTTCTCCCAAATCTTTAACTGGTTAATGTTAATGAACATAGTTAAAAAAAATATTTAATTGATATAAATTTAAACTTAAAAAGCTCTCATTTAATATGTCATTGCCTCAAATTCATTATCTTGGTTTTGTATGAAATAAATGAATAATTAAACTTATTAAATAGGAGCATAATTGAGAAAAAAAATATTAATTAGATTTCAAAATTATAAAAATACAATTATTTAAAAAAAATAAAAGGATTAAAGTTGTGTATGGTAAAATTAGCTTATTAATTGGCTAAAAAATTATACGTAAAATGATTGAATCGTAAATGTTTGATAAAATTAGTTTATAATCTATATAAAATGACATATTTATCTATTTAATAATAATGAGAGTGAGAGAGTAAAAAGATTAAAAAAAATTGAGAAAATTAATAAGGTTAAAAATGAAAAGAGAAAGAAAAAACTAAGAACTTAATTAGGATAATTCTAATAAGAGCAACTTACATGAGTTATTTAGTATATATAAAAGTGTGACGGTGATCCCATGGTATCATGTCTTCGCTAAGTAACTCATACCTATTTTTACTCCAATGAAAAAAATTCTAAGGAACTTTAAAAAACTTATAATTTTATTATTATTTTTTTGTAATTTTGACTTAATTATATAAATTTCTTGATGATCTCTACTGAGTCCAAGTATTTTTTTAATGGTAAGAAACAATTTCCTACTGAAGTAACTAAAAAAAAATTAAACCACTTTAATTGTCATGTTAGATTGCTCCATTGAAAGAATTGTTTGAAGCAACTGAAGTTTCATTATAGGCAACTCTAAAGGGAGTAACGCATATGAGTTGTTTAGTATATCTAAAGATGTGATTAGTGGTTCCCATAGTATCATGTCATCACTAAGCAACTCGTACCTAATTTTGTTTCAATGGAAGAAATTTTAAGGAACTTCAAGAAACTCATAACTTTATATTTTTTTTAAAATAATTGAATTGATTTTATAATAGTTGTTTGGTGGTCCCTACTGAATCCAAAATATTATTTTTTTAATAATAAAGAACAGTTGCTCAATAAAACAATTGAAAAAAAAAATTAAGCAACTTTCATTGTCATCTGAGAAGGGATGACAATGGGTAGGGTCTATATAGGGTCTTATAATACTCATTCCGATACCTACGTTTAAAAAGAATACTCGTACCTAGCTCCATACCTATGCGAGTAATAATTTTAATCTCCATCTCCATACTTGTTGGTCACCTATGTATCCATACACGCACCTGCAACCCACATTTTACTTATATATAAAATAAATATATCAATAAAGATATAATATTTCATACAAGTAAACATAATATTAATTTGTCAAGTTTTTAACATTACAAAAATCCAACATAGCAATTCTTATAAATAAAGATTACAAAACATTTAATTCTTATAAATAAAATTTTAAGAAAATTAACATAATAAAAGTTGTAATTAAACTTCCAACATCATGATCATGTATTAATAATATTCTCCAAGACCTGTGAAAAAAAATACAGCAATTAGTTAGATTAAAATTATAGATTAAATTATATACTATAAATTTCAAAAGACAAATATGTAAACATTTGACCTCATCATCGGAATCAACTTCTCCATATTTTTGCAAACGCTTGACTTACAAGTTTATATATTATTTTGGTTCAGTAATACAATAAAAATTACATGACAAGAAAATGAATGATTAGATAATTTAAATTGATAATTAAAACAAACAATAAAAAAATAAAATAACTTTTATTAAATAAACAAAGTTTAATTATTTATTATCTTGTTGTTTGTATTTCAATTAACTTTGTGCACACATAAGTGCCCCTGAAGTAAATTCATAGAACCTAGAATGATGAGTATGTGCTAAGTGCAAATTCTAAAACTACGATTGAAATCGGGATTGTCAACATCTTTAACAATTTTTTACAAAATTGGATACTTAATCCCATTTGTTTTCCACCATCCAAGAATGTCAAAAATAGTACTCATAGGCACAACTTTTTCTTCTAAGTAGAGCTTTATTTCAAACTTTGTATTTCAATTGTATTATCCACAAATGTGTTATAATTATTGAGAAAATTTTTAATATTTAGATTATCCAAGTTTGACTTAACATTTGCTCGTGAAGTTGAAAATTTCAATATTCTTTTAGCTTTAGTTTGATAGTATTCAAATAATGAATAACATAATTTTTTAATATTATTAATTTCAATTGAAGATAAGTTATCATAAAACCTAGGAAAAAAGTATTTTAACAACTTCAACTTATATGTTGGATCTAAAATAATAGCAATATTATTATACTAATTAATATATTTATATATATATAAATTATCATTAAATA